AAAAAAAAAAAAAAAAAAAACCAATTTTGGGATAACGTGATTTATAGACATTTTATGGAGTCATAAATGGTATATTAACATGCATTTAAAATAAATGCACATGAGACAACTGTCAATACATCAATTTATGAATTATTCTTCTAAAAAAATCACCCTTATATATAATTGCAGAGTGCGGTGAGCCTAAGTGGCAGTCTCGCATGCTTTGGAATCCTACTTAGCGAAAAAAAACATGTTTCGTAGTTAGAGATGGACAATAAAGTAATATTATTCTAAATAAATAATTTAAAGTTCAGACATTCCAAAAATATTGAAAAACTAACTTGGTAATTCCATAATAGTTTTACTAATATAACCCTTAAATTGTATTGGAACATTTGGTACTGGTATTGATTCACTAATATAACCTTGATTTGTTTTGGAAACTCTCAATCGACTCATTAATTTTAATGAAAACCTCAAAGTAACGTAATATACATATATATATATATATATATATAATTTTAAACAATTATTGTTGTTATTATCATTTAAATGTTTAATTTTAAAAATAATTTTCTTAACAAGTACTCGTGTAGTACACGGGTATTGTACTAGTTATTTAAATAAATATAAAAAGACCATAGTTTTAAACATTGTTATAAATTTGGGATTATTTGCACTATTCGGGCACCACAATTTTTGCTTAAACGACTCTTCGTATAACTGCCATTAGAAGCCCTCAAGAAAATAATCCCTTGAATAAAATTCAGGCAGCCATTTTCATGGTTCTATGATAGTGCACAGAGCTAAAAACTAACAAATCTCCCAATTAGAAAAAAAAAGGCTAATTAGTCCAAGTAAACTACCCCAAGTCAGAACTCAAGACAAGATATTTTGTATAAATAACCAAAGATACGAATCCAGACACGATAAATACGACAGTAATTACATTTTTCTAGCCATTCATGATGTCGTTTAGTCCTAAGATAACGGAGGTCGAAAGGAAGAAAAAGGTTCACCATACGGATAAAAAAAAAAGGAAGAAAAAAAAAAATCAGTAAGTTTGTAGACAACTTCATATACCCAACTTAGTTTACTATTTTCATCAGTCCGTAAACTCGTGCATGTGATCCAAGAGGTAGTTAGCAGCCAACTCCTCATTCTTGTTGCACGCAAAGAAAACCTGGACCACTATTTCACGACCAAATCCCATTGCTTCTAGCTGCAGAAATGCACAACATTCAATAACCAGATTCGGCTCGTAACTCTTACCTTATTAAACCAAGTGAGCATCGAAAGATCATAAAGCAAGTTGAAAGTATGCTTGGATATAAGAAATTTTGGTTTTCTTTGGATTTTTTGGTTTGGTTTGTTTAATTTTTTTTAAAAAAAAATGTTGTATGGTTAATTGTTAGTGGGTATATTCAAATAATATTTAAAATAAAATAATTACAATTGTAAAAGTAGGAGAGAGATGATGTGAAGTTATGGTTAGTTAAAATTATATGAGTGGATAAATAGTGAATTAAAGATGACAGGCGGGTACGAATGGTTGAATGGTATTATTTAATTATATTGATAATATTGATGATAGTGTTGAGTTAAAAAAAAAGTGGTTGAGTTAAAAATGTTTGAATTTTTTTTATCCAAGCATCCACTTCCTTCACTTCATAATCGAGTGAAAATGCATACGCACCCTTTCTATAGCTTCAAGTTCTTCGGGTGTAACTGAAACAGCCTGAGGCATCGCCCCTGCCAACTGCCCGAGCATGCTGGAGATTCTGCATGTAAATAAATAAAACGAGCATAAATTAGCACAAACCCAAAAAACACGTGCAAAAGCATGTTCTAAACAACAAATGTGAAGTTTTTTTATCATACGCTTCACTGCCTTCAACAGGCTCATTGATGAGTCGTAGAAAGTCTGCCTGGTGCTCTTGAATCAGCCTTACTAATTGAGGGTTTTGCTTTCCTAATTCTTGAAGCATGGGCTGCCAGTAAAAAAAACATTTACCACTTGGGACATAGTAAGAAATACATGCATTACCAATAACTCAAAACAAGCGAAGTTATTTTACAACAGTCGATACCTGCAAGATCTGCGGGTTGTTCTGCACCATTGCTCTCAAGGTTTGGAACTGAAGCAAAGTATTAACAATAGAATGATTTCACAATTGTTATATCTATCAACACATGATATAACATATATAAATATACATAATTATAACAACCTGTGGACTAGTGCGGAGAAAATCGAGGGTATTCGCACCACCGGTATTCGCACCTGCGTTCGGCAAGCCCTATCCACAGAAGCAATTATAAAATCCCAATAGTTTGAGTAGACATTAAGATAAACAAAGGGGGGAAAAGAAAAAAAAAACCAAAAAACCTGAGGGAAAAGATTCAGTGGGTTTGCATTCGGGCCAGCTGTAGATGCAGCAGGTGCTGGTTGAGCAGCTTGCTGAGGCTGAGCAGATACATTAGCATCCTGCCCGGCAGATGGAGCTTCAGCCAATTCAGGGATCCCCTGAGATGGCATCAAAACACGAGTAATAAGACCATAAATACTAGCTTCCAGATGACTTTACAGAATTCAGAAGATTCACAACATAGTAATAATAATAATAATAATAATAATAATAATAATAATAATAATAATAATAGTAAAATAATAATAATAATAATAATAATAATAATAATAATAATAAGTGGGAGAAGTTATAACCATATTTTTGGTTACTCAGGCATCGGAAATTATAATCAGGAAATACAGACAATATTTAACCAGAATTCTGTTTCACAAGCTCGAGTACACATAAAGATAAAGGAGGGTTTAATGACTCACAGAGTACAAATACTCGACAGCTCTTTCTGGATTGTTATAAGCAGCACGAAGGGCACGGAGAACAGTGTCTCTGTCCCAAGTTCCCCCACCCATATCAAGAATTTCCTGTATTGTCCCATCCAGGTTGCTACCAGCAACAAGATTAGATGCAGCTTGGCCATACACTTCTGACCTGCAACCAGGATAAAACCATCAGCACACAACATATAAATCAAGTGTCCTCTAATTCCTCTGAATTTTTTTACATGATAGTTTTATATGAGCTTCCAAGTCCTAACATAAAACACTTGCAGATAGCATGAGGAAAAATCACCCTAATAAAATGATGAACTTTTCATTTTTTTCCGTAACACAAGAGAATAAACTATACATTAATATGTTCCCATTGTTTCCTAGTACTGATATAGGACTTTATTAGCAAATAAGACATATATGAACAATCTAAAGAGAACTTTCCTATTAGTGATCTGTGACATGCAACAATATTTGTTGCTTGGCCCATCATTTGTTTAATTATTATTCCCAAACATCCAAATCTAACACCCAAGACATGAATTTAAGGCTTAACTAATATCCTATATATATAGTACACATCAAATATATATTTTTATTTTTAAGAACTTCCATTCAAACGGTACTCACACATCGCTGACAGCCGGAGCTGGAGCTGGAGCTGGAGCTGGAGCTGGTGCTGGTGCAGCCCTGAGGAGTTGATGAATTAAAAATTTAATCAAATTTATCATTCAAGCATGCATTCAAAGGGACCAATTAAAATTGATGAATTATTGAGAGATGTCAGAAGGAGAATATGTAGACAAAACTCACGCAGCTGCAGGAGGCTGAGGAGTTGCAGTCACTTGAGTTGAAGTAGCTGTGCCACTTGTCTGTGCTCCCTATTAAGGTGTAAACCAAGTTAGATGCATCAAATCCCTGCTCATCTCAGCAAAGGTATCAGAATTTAACAGAATATCCCCTTTATATGTTTGTGAAATCTAATGCGGACGAAGCAACAAAACATGACAAAAAGTCGAAAAAAGTTGAAATAGCCAACAGCAAATCAGGGCATATGATTCAAGTTGCTGGCTCTAAACCACCAGAATTGCAATTTTTTCCTTCTCACCACATAACCTCAGCAATGTAGACGAAGAGGTTTTAAATTTTCAATCTCTCTCAGTTTCACAATGAGAAAGCAAAGAAACAAAACGTCTGAAGCATAGAATGGTTCACATTTACTATGCGTGCAAGAAAATATTCGTTTCCATAGAAACAAAATGTAATTCCATCTCAGGGCAATATCAAAAGAACTTTTAACTTCAACAAGGTAAAGCCAATTTCTCAAATATCTACACATTTAATAGCATCTGAACCTAACACACACATAAAAGAACCAACGATCCAGCTACAAGAAGAAAACGATAAGAATGGTGTCAAATAGAAATCAACCAAAATATATTTTTAAATGAGAGCTAAAACATCAAGACAACGAAATATAAAGCCAGAATCTATATTACACTTACCTTAGGTGCATTTGCCGTTGTTGAGCCTTCACCTGTAGGTCCCTTGTTCTACAATTTGAGAAAGAACATAATAAATATGATATCAGATAGGATCAAGAAGGCATATAGGGCGTTGAGTTAGTAGCATATTTCATTGCAATGGAGCAGGATTTGCAATAACTCAATAGGCTCATTACGAATGAAGTTTCTTTACATTAGGATCTGTTGAGGACTTGCATTGTAAGTTAAAAATTTGCTTTTTACTTCAAAACATCCCTGTGGAATGCATGTTGTTGTCAATGGCGTAGAAAATAGAATAAATTTAAAAGTGATCCCCAGCTGCAAACATGGATACCTATCACTAGAGTAAACTGAATAACCAATAATCAGGCGAGCCTTATCAAGGGTCTAACCGCTTTAGAAAATATCATACATCAACTATTAGCGAATAATTGCTTGAACACTCAAGGTAAATGGACATAAAAGATATCAGAGAATAAAAACATGGAAAGCTAGATGCAGTTGTAAAAGGTTGTAAAGGGATAGGCTAGACAACCGTTGTAATTTATTTCCGCAAAATTGGTCTAGAAACTTCCAATAGATAGACTTTGTACCTTGCTCAGCATAACAACAACAAAACTGCCTTCAGCAACTTTATTTTCTTCCAGTGTACTGTCATCTTTCAGAACTTTCCCCTGGTGGATAAGCATTTGCTGTGCAGCTGGATACTTATCTGATCCATCTTTACTCTCTGTGGTTCCCTCTATGGTTTTCTTTACATCTGCAACCTGCCAAACAAAACAATGATTCGAAATAAGAAAGCCATATCAGTCGAGGGCAATAAAGGTTCCAGATAAAATGTATATTTCACTAAATCCTACGCAATTTCATAGGGAAGACACTCTAGTTCGACTCATTATTCGAACAAATTACAAAAAAACTATCTTTTTCCAAAGCATAACCTCGGAAAGTTATCGTTGATCTAGATTAAATTTTCAACAGGCCACATTGAGTTTCACTCAAACAACCGACAAACCCCATAAATTAATGATTTCAAATCATTAAAAAAAAAAAAAACCCACATTAAGTTCGTCGAAAAAACTCATCTACCACATATTGAGATAACAATACACCCAAGTTCCCCTATCAAATTCCATCACTTCAGATGAAAACAATATTCAAATTGGTTCCGCGAATCGTCACCGGCACTATCTTTATCCATTGACAGATGATCCAATTACAGTATGGCAACAGGAATTATCATCATACAATTGCATAAACTAATGCCGGACAAAAACAAAATATAATAAAATAAAAAGTTGCAGACATCATCAATTATCGCTCAAACATAAGCTCCAGCCTTCATCGTACAATCCTTTGCCCCCAAAAACAACAAAATTTTACACAAATCGATAAGAACGATGCATAATTCAAACTAAAGTTAAAAATTAACCAAAAAAAACAAGGAAAGAAAAAAAGAGAGGAGAAAACGAACCGAATCCTCGGGTTTTACTTCGATGTCGAAGGTGATACCCTTGAGAGTCTTCACGAAAATCTTCATCTTCTTCTCTAAAATCTCTGCAAAATATGGATCGGCTTTTAGGTTTCACTTTTATACGAGTAATTTTACAGAAGTTATTTTATTAGGAATAGGGGAGAAACTTACAAGGTAATATATATTATATTATATATTGTGTGATCTTTGAGTTAAACCCAAATTCTTTGCTCTTTATCTACTTCAAAAAAATATTCTCTCTTTTATTCCTTTTATTTTACATTTATTTTCTTATATTATTGATATATTATTTTATTTTAATTAAGAAAAATATTTTTTTTATATAATATAATAATTGTGAATAGATAGTTAGAAAAAAAAAACAATATAATTTGTATATAAATAATTTAGAAAATGGTAGAGGTATATGGAGATTTTTTTCATAATTGTTCAAATCATCCATTAAAAATACAAAACTACGGTGGGGAACGTGAATAAGAACATTTTATTTTATTTTTCTTATATTCGGATAATTTAATTAAAAGACACATATCACTAATGATAGGACGCCACAAAAACCAGATTAATTTTATATTTAGGATATTTGTTAAAAATATGAATAAGGAGATAAAGGTGTGACTAGTGTTTTTTTAATATATAAAATAAAATGAAATTTTATTTTTAATCACTTTTTTCGTTATACACTATCTGTATATCTATATATATATATAATTGCTAGCTAATCATTAAATAAAACCTCATAAATAAAATCTATTTAATTTTACCTAATAAATACTACAACCTTCCATATACAATGAACGTTACATTTACAATTATGGATTATTATTGTACATTTATGATTATACATTGTAACATTTCATTCTTTTAAATGGTATTTTCATCTTTTTATTTTCTTTTATGACATCTAATAAAAACTAATTAAAATTTAAAATAATCTATATATATAATTAGGAATTATCACATCAATAAAAATTTTCATATTCCACTCTTTTTTTTGTACATAGTAGCTTGGTTTTTTATTTAATATGTAAGCATACTAATGTTGAAATTAATTGTTACGACTTTCCGCTCATTTAATAATTCTAACTTTTATTCTGTATATTTTTTAAATAGAATGATTACAAAATATTCTACCAAAACCTGTGGGTATAATATAAAAATAAAAAATTAAAATAAAACAATCGTTCTTATAAAAGACAATTTATTGTTGCATAAGTACGTGTTTAATTTTTAAAAATGCATTCGTTTAAATAAAATTCATAGCCTCAAATAGTAGTAGTAATGATAATAGTAACAATAATAATATTTAATGTATTTTATATAAATATCATTCCCGTTATGATTAATTTATATTCCTATATATATAACTATTCACAAAGAATTTATTGCAAATAAAAAATAAGCACATTTTATTCAACTAATTGTAAAAAGAAGCTGTTATATTTTTTATTAATCAATTAAATTATATATTTTATAACTACATAATAACTAATAATAACTAAATGATATAAGAAAGTTTATACATATAAAAAAAATATTTAGATTTTTTAAGCTACTTATTTAAAATAATAATTATTTTTTAACTCATTAATATTTTTTAATAAAAATAGTTAATTACTTTTTATGGCATAACCAAAATATTTTTTTATCTAATTAATTAGTGATAATCACTATTATTTTCTACAATTATCATTAGAGTGATTTATATGTAGGTTAAATAGTTTATACTTATATCGTTTATATTTACAAACCATAAAATTTCTACAATATGATATACTCATTATTTATCTTAAGTTTTAAATATTATATAAATGAAGAATCATGCAATCCATCAATTAAAATGGCGGGACAATATTAGAGTCAGTCAAAAAAATAAATTATAATCAATCAATTATTCTTTAAAACTGAGCAATCACTTGGCAATTAAATTATACAATCAATGACCATTTCTTAAAACTTTATAAATAGCTGAAAAAATAAGAACCAAAAGCACATTCAGTAAAAAATACTACTCAACAGGAAAAAAAAATTCAGCCAAATTCTCATTTCAAATGGCTTTCATGTTTAATAATATTGAGGTTGATTCGCCATTATTCAACAAGATCTTTGATGAAATGAAAATAAAAAGAAAAAACATCAAAATGGCGGATTGAAGTACGTATTTCACGATGTCAAAGTATAAAAAAATTTTTAGTCTTTTTTAGCACATACTATTTCAATATCGATTTTTTATAATATTATTTTTTTATCGTGTAGGGTCAATGAATTCACGCTTCAGGCCCGGGTTGCTTCGCTGAAAATTTTTAAGAAGTTTAAAATCAATGAGGGTCGTATTTATGCCATAGAAAATTTTAAGGTGTTTCCCGACCAAAATTATTGTCATAGAAAATTTATACAACAAAAATAATCCCAAAACTTTATCCACGAAATAATACAAAAAACATACAAATATATTAAACCTTTAAACAAACAATTCACATCTAGATCAATAGCTTCCCCGTAGATAAATTAAAAGCATGACTACGACAGCTAAACAAAATAGGAATCGATCC